CTTTCCCTGGAAAAAAATGCAGTAATAGAGGACAAGGAAACAGGGAGAGCAAATTAAGTCTTTTAAGCTCACAAGCTTCTAAACCTCAATGTCTTAGCCAGCAAAGTTTAGAAATTCACTCTCTTGAGAGCCAGTACAAGCTCAGTTTGCAGAGCTGTTACCATTTCAACATATATCCCAATTTGTCTGCTCCCCACCTTCCAACCCCCGTTCTCAATCTGATAATAGAGGACAAGGAAACAGGGAGAGCAAATTAAGTCTTTTAAGCTCACAAGCTTCTAAACCTCAATGTCTTAGCCAGCAAAGTTTAGAAATTCACTCTCTTGAGAGCCAGTACAAGCTCAGTTTGCAGAGCTGTTACCATTTCAACATATATCCCAATTTGTCTGCTCCCCACCTTCCAACCCCCGTTCTCAATCTGATCCTTTGAAACAACTGGACAATTAGCTGCCTTAGATAACCAAAATGTCTTCTTGTTACAATGTTCCAATACATTAATAACTAACTTCCAGTGCATGTCAATCAAAATGTCTTCTTGCTACAATGTTCCAACACATTAATAACTAACTTCCAGTGCATGTGGACCCGTGTTTGCAGTTTAGATGTGAGAGCTGAAATAGTATTTTAGGAGTATTACTTACTGATAAACACCATTATATACAAGAAACTGGGTTATCAGAGTTGCTACAAAGGCTATTGTAATTCCAAGTCCGAGACCACTTCTTGAACGATCAAATGTCCACCAAAGACCCAGTGATAAGGCTGCTAGAGTCAGGGACAGCTGGACGTTGTTTGCAAAGTCTAGTTTCTGGAAAAAAGATGTTAAGGACAATCCTTTTAAGTCTGCAGACATCCTGCTGCTGAAACTGAACAAGGGAGAACTCAAACTGAAAGTGTGCATGATTCTGAATCTCTAAGTACAACACAATTAGGATCTGGTTTTCAGACCTGCCATGCAATTATAGCTCTTGTTGACTTTGACTGGAGCCTGAGTACAAAGGTAAGGTAATTTTTCGCCATATTGAGCAACTAAAGAATATACTATAATGCAATATATTCAATTCTTATGGATTTTTGTCTCAAGTAACCTAGGTAATCCAGCTGATTTAGGTTTTCTGCTCAAACCATCACTATCCAGCACAAAGAACACTCTTACTGAGTGCTTCTCACTAGCACATCACTAATTAATTGTCTTTATTATTTGTAGACAATATACAGATTAAAATCATGCAACTTAAGACTGTTATACCTGCAGTTGAACCAGACAAACCCTGATGTCTATCCCTCTCCCCTCCCAGCACTTTAAGTGAAGTGTGTTACATATCTTATAATAACTACTGCAGGGTACAGCAGGTCTCACATTAGTTTATGTCTGCCAGTAGCACCATCCTTACCTTTGTAATTCCCCCAGATGTGAATGGAAGAGCCTGTTTCCTGACAACAGACAAAGCACATGGAGCAACAATAGAAACTAGTTGAAGGATACAGCACTGGCATGGTTAATGCCAACGAACACTGCTATACAGCGCATGACGCTGGCCCACTCCCTCTTGAATTTGTGTGGCTCCCCGAGGTGGCTGTCAATGCAGGGATACAGCAGGCCAACAACAGCTGCAAGAGAAACAACACTACTTGTATGAACTGTTATACAACCATTACTCCAATAGTACTGAGCATTAGCTTGGCAACTAAGTGCCTGAGAAAGCAGTGAGGTGATTATCACACTACTGTAAGCCTGAAGACTATTATTTTACTGAAGACAATTATTACCCCACTTTTCTACTTCAGAAAAGTAAAAAAAATACCCACTCTAACATGCATTTTTCTTTGAACCTTTAAAGAAGATACATACAGCAGTGTTATCTGACTTAAATCTCTTTGGAGAAAAGGAGCTTCATCTTTAAAGAAGATATATACAGCAGTGTTATCTGACTTGAAGCTCCTTTTCTCCAAAGAGATTTATCATTTGACACCCTGAGCAAGACTTGCACTTAAATAACAAAATTACAGCAAAGAGTGGAATATGTGTTTACTGCTCACGTGCAGGGCAGACAGTTTTATAAACATGACTCGCTAATTACAGCTAAGAGTGGAATATGTGTTTACTGCTCA